GCCTTCCTGTTTCAGCGCTTTGCGTTGGAGCCTGCAGAAGCAGCTAACAACTTACAGTCGCAGCATAAGTGCAGCGTGTAGAAATAATATATAGCTGTTGCAGCTACTCGTGCGAGGTTTCGCTGTCCGACACCGGTTGTTTGACAGAACGAGTTGCAAACCTTTACTTGTCAGTTGCCGAGCGGCTCACGTTCTCCGCGCCCTTACCACTGTAAAGCCTGTGGAAGGCTGACCCTTTGCGGATCACCAACTGCAAGCTGCATTGGAACCTGCGCAGCAGGTTCGCCAAACCAAGCAAGTGAATGCTCAGCATTTACACAGCAGTTGGAAGCCAAACTGCAGTGAACGTATAAGCTCCAAACTCGACCCACGCGAAATTTCCAGACGTCGCAGCGCACAAACCAAACGTGCAAAACAAATTGAGGCAAGCGCGTAGGCGACGCACCAATCCAAGCAAGCCGAGAACCAGAACAGTTAAATCCTGAAAGCAGATCTGCTGCGCGCCAACATAAGCTCTCGTTAAATGCGCCAAGAAACATGGAGTACCAGCCCCTTTCCGGGCTAGTCAGCAAGATAAGTCTTTGGAGGATGCCAACTTGCACAGCCCGCTGGGTCCATGTTTGTGCGAGTAGCAGCCAAAGCTATGCGCGCAAATTGCTGCATCAAATCAAACAAAATTATGCTTACAGCCAACCCAAACCAGACCTGCGGCCAATATATTATATGTGTATTTGTATGCGTATGTGTAAATACAAACTCCGACACCCGCTCCTAGGTGTGCTACTTTTTGTGTTCAGAACCTTTTGCCTCGGGACGGTTATGCAGAGTCATAGGTTCAAGATTCGGCGTGTGTCCCAGCGAGCCTCCTACGGCATTACGGGCTCAGCTGAGAGGTTGCGGATACCCTTCACATCAAGAGAGACTGTGCACAAAACAAGCCCGAAGCAAAAGCTGGGAGAAACCCTTTTGCATGGCAGATAATGATCCATGAATTTCCGACACGATTTGCACAGAAACCTCATGGCTCAAGCTGGCAACTCAAGCCAAGCGAGCCTTGCTCAATCAGCTTCTCCTGTTCCTCAACACGTCAGGCTGGTGAGTCTTTGCATTGAGACATCTCAAAGGCTCACGGCAGATCTGCGAAGCGAGAGGCACCTGCAGTTTTGTGTTTGTGTGCTTGACAAGTAAACATATTACGAGATGGGATGTGCTGAACCAGTAAGGGGGCAGATTTGCGGGGGCAGGCCTGTTTCAGTCCATCCACAGTAATCAATTCCAGGTTAGGATACAAGGGTATGCCATCAATGGCAGGATTGGCTTCCCTCTTTAGGCAGAATCAGTTCCTCGCATTCAATCTAGAAGTCCGCGGCCGTGGTCAAGGCACCTCGGTATTCGTGATACTTCTCCTGGACTTGCCATGTGTTGGTCTGCTGGGTCATGCGGGCACAACTTCAAGTCTTTACAGTGTTTCATGTCCAAAAGATCTGTTGGCCCATGCTGACACGGGTGAGTGGGTCCCCTGATTGAATTTATGGATTGCCGTTGTCTCGATAGGTGTTCAAAGCTTTCGGGATATCGCCTTTGCGATTTTTTAAATATATTTGCAAGGCTGCCAGAGCTCAGGTGGAGCATGGACAGTCTTGCATGTGGATTTGGCTTTCATACCCGTGAGTCTGTCGGCATTGAGGTTGGCATTTGGCGGCTTGGCATTTGCCGTCTCTGGTCCCAGGCTCGGGAAGTTTGAGCAGTTCTCGCCGCTCTCGAAATTGGAGTGGAGAGCGGCTTTGGAAAGACACCCCCGGCGGAGTGTCTGTCCGTCGCCCAAGCCGCCCTGAATTCTTCAATTGAGGTATCGGAGCCCAAGCCTTGCACTGGAAGGTGTTTACAGTATAGACAAGTCCACAACAAGTGAGCAGAGGGGCCTTTCCGCCGAGCCTCATGAGGGTGAGTCGATATTTGTCGAAAGTCCAGAGAATATTCAACTGCAACCTTTTCAGGAGAAGCCGTCGAGAGCTTATTGCCAACGTCACGACCGGCGGCCTAACACAAGCCAGCCAAAAGCCACCCCCAAGTTTGCTCAAGCTGAACCCTACACTAAAGCAAGGCAAAACGGATGCGAAGCGGTGGTCATGCCTCAGCTAGCCCCAAACGAACATTCCTGCCGCAAGAACTTGAGCGGCTTGAAAGCAGCCCTGCAACTCAGCAAGGGGCTCAGACCTCTTGCTTGTCTTGCGGTGGCCACAGCTCAGCGAGAGACCAAGCCCGCTGATGCTGAGGATGTTGCTCTCCACCCGCCCTCCCCTCACAGTCAGGTTGCCCACACCCAGCCACTTCTTGTAGCGAACCACTCGTAGTAAAAAAAACTGGAAACAGACCAACCAGCCCTGGCACAGGGCTAGGCCTGGCAGCCCTGGGTTGGTTGGTTGGTTCAATCCGAACCTTGAACGTACCCTAAACCTAAAATACCCTAAACCCACCCGGCACCCATCCGAAACCCATCCAAAACCTAGCCTAAACCGACCCTCATCCTACCCGAAGCCTGCCCAGACTTACCACAATCCTTCCCTTACCCGCAGCCCACCCTAAATTGTACACTTAAACACCACCCTTTCGTGGGCGCCAGGCTGTGCCAGGGTTAGGCCAACCAGCCCCAACCAGCCAACCAATAAAACCAACCAACCCGGTGTTGGTGACCCACTCCCCGAAACCCACCCTAAACCTAGCCAAAACCAACCATACGCCGACCCTAATCCAGCCTGCCCGCCCGCCCTTGACACACCCTTAGCGCCCGTAAGAATACGACAAACCTTCCCGAAACCTACCCTAAACCTACGAGTACCTACCCTTGCCCACCTTAAATTGTAGACTTAAATACCGCCCTTTCGCGCGCACCAGGGTTAGGCTACTGCCAGGGCTAGCAAAAACAAACACCTCACCTCCCCCCCCTCCCATTTTGGGTGGCGTTCCTTTTGGTGTCCCTTTAACACCAATCCAGAGAGGTACCAACCCCCAAAAAGACGAGCCACTCATATCAAGAAAATCGATGGTTCTTGAAGCTTCTCTGGATCAGTGATATTCACAGAGCGCCTCAAGTCAGAGACCCTCCGTCCACAAGACGGCTGGAGAATGGGGTCTATGGCTTCAATGCCACTGAATTCTTTGTTCACTCCAGTGAGCTGGATGTGTGCAGTTGTTCTGGGGACATTGTTCTGTGAGAAATGATAACTACTTGTCAAGTGTCAAGCAAAATTGCCGCAAGTATACACGGATTTAATGAGACTAGTCACCGAATTCCAATCAAATTGAATAATGACCATGGCTATGCTTGCTGGCAAAGTTCTTATCATTTGGACACCTCATATGACGACTTCTGCGTGCTTCACGTGGAAAGAACCCGCTAATTCGGCGCACACACACATATCGTCCACTAGGATCACTAGGGTTCCCATTCGGTGTTTCAAGGATCCCAGCTGTGGGAACGCGGTGACATGGTTTTGCCATCTCGCACGGAGCCCGCACGGAGCCACGAGATCATTGGCCCGGACAAGCAGTGTCTCAAGGCCAAGTGCAGAAAGTCTTTAAATGTGCGCCCGGCCTCCTTTTGCCGGCCGGCGCTGCCTGTCTCACTCGTGAAGATCCGGGGAAAGGATCGGAAAGAGTACATGACGAGAGACGGTGCTGGCTGTGGTTTGGTCCGGGCGCACAGCAGATTTGCAGGGAAGTAATTGCCGAAGGCATGGAGCATACATTTGAGAGTTCATTTCACCTGCACAAAGCATTGAGATATGGAGAAAAATGCGGTGCTGCGCAGTCATGCGCGCAGCCCAGATTTAATGAAGATGAACATGTACAACATAGGATTTGTATTGCCGCATGAAACTGTCAGATACCTTGAAGCGGCTCAGCTAAGGATTGAGATCGACATGCCATGTGCAACAGTAGGAGAAAGGCATGGTGTATCCTGCCAAGCACCACAGAAGCCAAAAGGCCAAGCGGCAAACTACTTGCCCCACCTAGTTCACCAGCAGCTTCTGCCGCACCGATACCACCACCACCAGCGAGCAACTGCAGCAGCAACAACAGCGACAACCACAACGACGACAACGCCACCAGTTGCGGCAGCGGCAGCAGAAGCAGCCGCCGCAGCAAGTAGCTGCAGCACCGACAACACTGGCAGCACTGGCATCACTGTCAAAAGCAGCGGCAGTGGTGCGCTTCTCACTGCTCAGAATTGCCTGCACTGCACCAAAGAGGCAACTTCATTGCAAAGGTGTTGTGTTGGCATGTTTAGTGGAAAGCAGCATATCGCAGTAGCCGTCGGTTTGTTAAGGGACTTCGGCGCATCAAATTGACAGTGAAACGGCATGTACGGACTCCGTGTTGCACGAGAAGAGGGTGGGACAAAAGGTGCTCAGGCAAACAGTCAACTTTGTAGGCAGTGATCGCCCGAATCGTTGACCGGCAGCCAAGTTTGGGAAAGCTTCTTCACGAGTTTAGCGACGCATCATATTGAAGCACTTGTTTGGTTACTCACTTGGTTGTTGCTCTCGATAGTTGGAAGTGTATGTCAGATCAACCTGAATTGGTGGTTGGTTGGTGGTTTGAAGACTCTTGACTTTGGAGGGGGAAATCAAGAGCCACTCTTCTATTCTCCAAACCATATATCCAAGCGGATCTAGGTAGAGTAATCCTGTTTAGTCACAACTCAAAAGGGACGAAGTGAACTCTTTGGCGCAGGATGCTGTTAGTGTCTCAATGGTTCCATTCGTTTGCATTGTGGTTCTCTACTGTCTTGTCGAGACAGTTGGGCTGAGGCCCGCTGTCCCAACAAAAACCACCAAGGTTTTGAAGCGCAGGAGAGTTTGGCAACAATGGTTGTGGACATTGTCCAATCCATGTGATCCTGCTGCGAATCCGGCACATGTTGGAGTTAGGCTCTTTGTCCTCTTGCCTCAAGTGATCGATCATATGGTCAATCCAAGAAACCCCGCAGTGCGCAGGTCCGGCGACGTTTACCCTTGGCTCCCGAGCACGGGACCTTGGGCCTTGGCTTTTCTTGTCCAGCAAGCCAGCAAGATGGCGGCTGGTAGAAGTGGCTGTTTCCCTTCTGGTTTCCATTGAGAGCCATCCAAAAGGTGTCCACCATGTTGAGAACCCACCCACACAATTGCAAGTCCCAGTGAATCTTGGAAAAAACGCATCGCTGAAGACACCTGATACTCCCCCCTGGTCGGGATTGGTGTGATCCACAAAATCAGCAGGCAGGTGATCGCGTTTGTCTGCTTCCTAGAGGGCATCGCTCACAAGGAACTCCCAAACAAGCTCCACTTTCTTGGTCGTGCCCGGCTGCAACTTATACGAGGTTAAGTAAGGTGTTTAGTGTCGCAAGCTTCATTGTTCCACCCGGGCGCTGGCTTGTTTCCAAAATACGCCGCAAGTACGGCCTCAACGAGGGCCAAGCAGGCCCTTATCATGCACCAATCAAATGCATGGAAAGTTAAAATGGGAGCATATTGAAAGTCCCATGATACATCAGCCAAGAGCAGCTTGGCACCGTGTCGGCCGGTTGCAAATCGGAGGTCCTCCAGAAATAGATATGACTTGGCCAAGTGGCAAAGGACGCGATTCGACCGTTTGCAAAACCAATCCATCCAGCAATCCAGCCAGCCAGCCAGCCAGCCAGCCAGCCAGCCAGCCAGCCAGCCAGCCAGCCAGCCAGACAGCCCATCAATAAATCAAGCAGACAACCAGACAAACAAGACACAATCAAACAAGCAGTCATGAAAAAACAATGTTGACAGCCAGAAACATACAAGCACACAAACCAGCAAGCCTGCAAACATGAGGCGCACACGCACACACACAGGGCCGCACACACTCAAACAAGCAAGCAAGCAAGCAAGCAAGCAAGCAAGCAAGCAAGCAAGCAAGCAAGCAAGCAAGCAAGCAAGCAAGCTAGTAGGCAGCCAGGCAGGCAGGCAAGCAAGCAAGCCATGCTGGCAAAGCATGCAAAGCAAAACAAGCAAAGCAAAGCAAACCAACAACAGCAACAAAAACAGCCAAGCAGACAGCAGACTAGTACTGCAACACAAAGGAAGCAAACACACACCGCGGCACGCACACACACTCACACACACCGCGGGACACACACACACACACACACACCCACCCACCCACGCACGCACGTACACACCTGCACGCACCCTCCATCGCCCGCCCGCAGTGGCCCCCGCCCGTCCGCCGGGCTCAAGGGCCATAGCCAAGTAGCAGCAACAAAAACGACGGCAACAACAACAACAACAACAACAACAACAACAACAACAACAACAACAACAACAACAACAAGAACAACAAACAAGAGCAAGAGCAAGAACAAGAACAAGAACAAGAACAAGAGCAACAACAGCAGCAGCAGAACAGCAACACCAACAACAGCAACAGCAACAGCAACAGCAACAGCAACAGCAACAGCAACAACAGCAACAGCAACAGCAACAGCAACAGCAACAGCAACAGCAACAGCAACAGCAACAACAACAACAACAACAACAACAACAACAACAACAACAACAACAACAACAACAGCAGCAGCAACAACAACAACAACAACAACAACAACAACAACAACAACAACAACAACAACAACAACAACAACAGCAACAACAGCAACAACAGCAGCAGCAGCAACAGCAGCAGCAGCAACAACCACATCCACAACCACAACCACAACCACAACCACCACCACCACAACGACCACGACCACGACCACGACAACGACAACGACAACATCAACAGCAACAACATTTGCAACTACATCTACGACTACGATTACAACTACGACTGCAACTACAACTATAGCTGAAATCGCTAGTCACTACGACAACGGCGACAGCCATGATGTTGAGCTCGACTGCGACGGCAACGACAATGAAACGACAGCAACAACAAGCACAACCTCCGCAAGATTGGCAACAAGAACAGCGGCAACAATAGTAAAAGCAACAGCAGCAGCAGCAGCAACAACAACAACAGCAACAGCAACAGCAACAGCAACAGCAGCAGCAACAACAGCAACCAGAAGAAGAAGAAGACGGCGCCGGTTCAAAAACGCGCGCACAAGTCGAGCGTCACTCCCGGGCGTGCGCGACCCACATGTTTTTACAGGTGACCTGTTTGTGTTGAATCTTCAGGGCAACTTGAACCCATGATGTGACCTGCATTTAAAGTGACGACCTGAAAGTCTGCTCTTAGTAAGTCCGTGAACTTGTTGACACCTCTACTCCTTGGACGCATTAGCGACGTTGACAAACGCACCGCCTTTGCCTTTGCGTTGACAAAAAGGGTGCCACGGGCGGGCAAGCCGCAGGTGACACGGGCGGGGATGCCGCCAATGACGCGCAGTGCCAATGTGCGCGCAAGCAATTGGACGGGTTCCTTCTTCAAGATTGGAACATTGTCGAAAGCATGGAAGGTTGCGCTTACCAATGTGTAGGCGTGGCG